AGGTGCATCACTTTGCACTTGTCAGTGTTGAATCCCATTCTATTCTCATCCACCCACTCCTGTAACCTCTCTAGGTCTGATTGTAGCCTATTCCTCCCTTCTAGCGTGCCCACATCCCCCCACATCTTAGTGTCATTGGCAAATTTGAACAGGTTGCTACTTACCCCCTTGTCCAAGTCACTGATGAAGATGTTGAACAGTGCAGGCCCGAGGACCGAGCCCTGCAGAACCCCACTGCCCACATCCCCCCAGGTAGAAAATGACCCATCCACTACCACTCTCTGGGTGCGGCCCTCCAGCCAGTTGGCAACCCAATTGACTGTGTGGGTGTTGACACCACAGCCCCCCAGTTTCTTAATGAGAATGGGGTGAGAGACAGTGTCGAAGGCCTTCCAAAAGTCCAGGAAGACTATGTCCACTGCTACCCCTGCATCTAAGAGTGCTGTTTACAGTTTATTTAATCCACCCATCATCTTCAAATAATTGTCCGTCTCAGGATAAAGCTCCAAACAACAGTAGAACCACCAGGGCTAAAGCCTCACTAAATACCTCACATGGTCACAAAGTACGTTTGCTTTAGCTTCTTTGTTAATGTTTTGAATTATCAAAACAGAACATTTTATTTAATATTATAAAATATGCATAGGAAGCAAGTATGTAATTGAAGCTAATAAAAAGCAAACGTTTTACACCCCAAGTTAGGCTTCATGTGGAACAAACACCATTGCATGATCTTTCTGACCTGTTCATTTTGAATCCTTCTACTGTTTTCTGTTGCAACAAGCCATTACCCAAATGATCATTTTTACTTCTCTGTAAAAATTACAATTATTAACATACATCCCTTCTAACATAACATTCTCTGTCTAAATAGAGGCTGACTTTTGTCACTGAAACCCAACAAATTATCTCATATATTCATACAATCTGAAAATATTTATAGTCTATCACTATCTGAACAACTCTAAACAAAGATTGCATAATAAATACTGCAGTAGTGTCATTACTAACATTTTGTATGCAAAATCTACTTTTAATAATAGTACAATACCATTAATGAAAAACAGGTTGGTCTAAGGAATCAGATTCTTAGTGTAAATATATGGAACTGACAAAACATTAC